AGGTGAGCTAGAAGGAAAGGAGAGGTTGGATTGTGTAGCTGAAACCCAAGGTTAATGAGCAAAAGGAGCAGCCAGTGAGAACCAGGCTGCCTCTGGTTCATGGGACTGTGTAGAACAAGAATGGTTGCAGGGTAGAGGAGTGAGCTCATCAACCCACTGGTTCCTCATCAAGCCAAATGAAGGGAACAATTAAGTAATGTTTGGCTTTCCCACTGTTTGGCCCATAATCTTTTAGTGGACTGGACACAGAACAAAGATACTTCAGGTTTCTATGGAGCCTGGCCCTTCCTTCTCCCACCTCTTTCTTCCCATTATTTTATTTAAGGTAGGCATGCTTAGGAGTCAGTGACTGGCCCAAAGTGACTCAGTGAGCAGAGTGGTGACAAGAACCCAGATCTCCCCTGTCCTAGTGCAACGCTGCCTATCTAGTGTAGCCTACCTGATGCATTAATACCACTATCCTGACTGTTCTGCCCCACTGCGCCTAAGTGGTTTCTGCTTGCAGGCATGGGAAACCCTCAGTCCCGTGACATCAGAAGACAAAGTAAGCTGTGCTATTCTGTGCAGAGAAGAGAGGAAGAATCTCCACATCAAGCTGCTGTTTTGGCAACAGTTCTGTGTTTATCACAATGTGTAATAAACGTGTCTGTTAGAGAAAAGGCAGAGGTTTGTAGAGGTTTATTCTCAGTGATAACCCAGTTGGGCATTTTGCCTCATTACTATTTCAAATCTAACAGTGATTTGCCTATGAATCAGCTAGTCTTTAATCATAATAGTTTATTTTTAAATTTCTGGGTGGGGGGAATGGGGAGGAAATGCATTTACTGAATCTCATCGCCACAAAAATGATGCATGGTAAGTTAGTTGTCCTGCTTGTTTTGTAACTTGGGTTCTTCGTCGTGGCCTCTGTGCATCACACATATGGGTTCTGCGCCTGCGCAGTGCCTTTGGCCGGAAGATTGATAGCTAACGGTTTCCTTTTCGGCGGGGACTCTGCTCCCCCCCCCCCTTAGCAGTATATAAGGAGCAGAGTGACCACCATTTTCCAGTCTTTGCGACCGCCATTCACTGTGCCTCATGCCGCTTCGCTCTCGCTAAGATTTATTACTTACCTCGTTCCTTGTTCGAAAATCCTTGCCTTTTTTCTCTTATCAAGTTGTATTCCATGTTCTTGTTGTTAGTACTTCACTTATATTTCTTTTAACGTGCACTATTTTTTCTTTCTTCTTATCGTTCCTATAAAAAAAACAAAAACAAAAAAAACCAAAAATATTGCTTTCCCGCTTTACTATCTTCTTTCTCTTCAAAATTTCTACGATGGCGCAACGGGTGGCGTTCCGCAAATGTGGAAAATGCGGCTCGAAAATGCCCGCAGCAGATCCGCATGATCTGTGCCTCCTTTGTTTAGGGGAAGGACACAGAACCGATAAGTGCGGCCATTGTTTGGCCTTCTCAAAACAAGCGAGAAAAAATAGAGAGAACCGCCTTCGAAAACTCCTGTGGGACCAGGCTCTTCTCCAATCGGACTGCCTGGTGGCTAAGTCTTCCACTGTTGTGGCCCCACCTGAAGGCCGTCCAACTTCGGCTGATTTGCCGCAATGCCCGGCCTCCTCCATTGCTCCGCCTTCACGTTCCTCTCAGGAAGGCGCACATGCTATGGCCGACCAGCCTGTTTCCCTGCCGAGGAAACAAAAGGAGAAGAGAAAGCACAGTGATTCAGATAAACACCCTGTGCATAAGAAGGCCAAGAAGGGCAAGACGAGCAAACCGACTAAAAAGCCGAGGAACCCTGAGCAGGCAAAACAACGCCATTCGGGCTCGGCCTTGTCTTCGATCCCGATACCGGTCTCGGAACCGACTCCCTCAGTACCGACCATCCAGGAGGCTATGAGGGTCACCCCACCGGGTTCACCACGCTGGCTGGCTGTCGAACCCGTCATGGAATCGAGGAGGGGTTCCATCTCTGATGGGGAGATAAGAGACTCTCCACCTAGAGCTCGATCACCAACCCCAATGCCGTCGGTACAGATGGATACTGGTATCACCATCTCCCCTCCAGGAAGCCGTAGGAGCCGTTCCTCGGATGCGAGATCGGATGATTGGTACCACTCTAGATACTCCTCCGTTCCGAGATGAGAAGAGTACTACTCTGCAGCCTGCTTCCCGACCAGGGAACGATCTTCGCCACCAGCCCATCGGGAGCGTTTCCCTTCGACTCCCAGAGATGCCCCGAACGCCCCATCTAGAGAATGTGGCAGATCGGAGTCATCGGCTGAATCTTCCTCCAGTGTGCTGGATTCGACGTCGGCAAGAGCCTTTCTTCCTCGAGACAGACGATATGCGATTGCTCATTGCATTACTCGAATTCGGCAAGCAAGAACCGTTCCTGCCCGATCTATTCAAAGCCTTTTGGGGCACATGTCTGCTTCCATCGCTGTGGTCCCTCATGCCAAGCTACGACTACGTCCCCTTCAACTGTTTCTCAACAAACTGTTTCGGCCACAGATAGACCCTCCTACCAAACGAATTCGACTATCGGCTTCAGTTCTCCAATCCCTGCTATGGTGGATGGATCCAGCCAACTTAACCGTCGGTGTTCCATTTCAACCTCGGTACCCTACAGTAACCCTCGGTACCGATGCGTCACTGCTGGGATGGGGGGCCATCTGCTCCAATCTAAGTACCCAAGGGAGATGGAGCCATCGGGATGGCAGGAATCATATCAATTTTCTGGAACTCCTTGCCGTTTTCAAAGCACTGCAAGCTTTCGAGGATCTGCTCCTCCATCAGATCGTTCAAGTGACCTCCGACAACGTGGCGATGGTCTTTTATTTAAACAAACAAGGAGGAACCCGATCCCGCAAGCTAGCCCGTCTCACCATGCAGATTTGGGACTGGTGTGTACCAAGGGGTATCACTATTCTAGCAGTTCACCTTGCGGGCACCGACAACCAATCTGCTGAGCAGACACATGTCATGCTCCCACGAATGGGAGTTAGACCGTCGGGTTCAAAACATGTTATTTCACCGATGGGGTTGACCAGATATCGACCTGTTTGCCACTCAAGGGAACAGAGTGTGCAGGACCTATTGCTCCAGAGCGGGAGTGGGTCAGGACTCCCTGGGCGACGCTTTCATGATTCCATGGACAGGCATGATTTTTTATGCTTTCCCTCCGATCCCACTTATCATGAGAGTGCTTGCAAAGATCATTCACGAAGGAGCTACAAGAATACTAATCACTCCATGGTGGCCACGACAACCATGGTTCCCAACTCTCCTTCAAGTTTCCAGGGAGGATTTTCTTCAACTCCCTCTTCTCCCTTATCTAGTCACCCAGAAGGAAGGCACAGTTCGTCACCCAGACTTGCTATCGTTGAAACTGACTGCATGGCGGATACGGTGACCCGGGGTGATACATCGGTATCGACACCGCCTACCATCCCGACCATACATACCCAGCAGAGCCTGCACCCGGATCTGCAGTATATTCTTGAATCTGCACTACGACCATCTACCAGGAAGTCGTACGCAGCAAAATGGAAAAGATTTTCTAACTTCGCCAATTTACACTCTTTTCCGGCCTCCTCAGCCTCCGTTTCACAGATACTTCAGTTCCTTTTTGAACTACATCAGTCTGGACTCAAACCTTCATCTATAAAGGTTTGTACAGCAGCGCTCTCCCACTACAGAGGAGCTATACATGGTTTTTCCCTTTTTACTCAACCTCTAATAAAAAGATTTTTGAGAGGCTTAAGTAATCTGAATTCCACTGTAAAACCCCTAATGCCTACATGGAGTCTCTCGGTGGTTTTACAAGCATTAACTCGATCACCATTCGAGCCCATGGCGACAATTGATTTACGCCTCGTTTCTTGGAAGACAGCCTTCCTCGTGGCAGTGACTTCAGCACGTAGATCCTCTGAACTATGCGCTCGAGTGGATCCCCCTTTTCTAAATTTTCATAAGGAAAAGGTGGTTCTTCGTATGGATCCGTCTTTCCTTCCGAAAGTTGCTACCTCTTTCCATATGCAACAGGAAATTGTGTTACCGGCGTTTTTTCCGGTCCCTTCGAATCCGATAGAAAGATCTCTACATATGCTGGACGTCGGTCGCTGCTTAGCCTTTTATAGATCCAGGACTGAATCCTTTCGACATTCAAATAGACTCTTTGTGAAATATTTGGAGCACGACAAAGGTTGTCCAGTTACCTCTCAGCGCCTTTCGAAATGGATAGTTAATACAATTGTCCTAGCTTATCAGCTAGCCAAGTTGGACTTACCATCTACTCCAAAAGGTCACTCCACAAGAGCTGTCGCTGCCTTTTCAGCCTTTGCATCAGGAGTTCCGTAGAGGATGTGTGCAAGGCGGCCATTTGGGCTACTCCGTGTACCTTTGCCAAACACTATAGGCTAGATGTCCGTGCCTGACAGGATTGCTCTTTTGGCAGAGCTGTACTTTCGTCTGTCCTTCGATGATGACACCTCCCTCCTCCAGTTGGGGTAAGCTTGTTATTCTACCCATATGTGTGATGCACAGAGGCCACGACGAAGAAAAGCAGGTTGCTTACCTGTAACTGATGTTCTTCGAGTGGCCATCTGTGCAGTCACACAACCCACCCTCCGACCCCTCTTGGTGTCATGGGTGGTTCGATTATTTTTACTTAGGTATTATAATCTCTCCTATGTGTCGTACCGCTACTTCTTTAAACTTCTTGTACTAATGTGCAATGTCATAGGGAACCAAACGTCGGTCTTTCAAAGACTGGAAAATGGTGGTCACTCTGCTCCTTATATACTGCTAGGGGGGAGGGGGAGCAGAGTCCCCGCCAAAAAGGAAACCGTTAGCTATCGATCTTCTGGCCAAAGGCACTGCGCAGGCGCAGAACCCATATGTGTGACTGCACAGATGGCTACTCGAAGAACATCAGTTACAGGTAAGCAACCTGCTTTTCCTAAAATTTGCGTGTATTATATATGTTTCTTTCTTTGTTTTCTTAGAGCTGTGTAATCATTGGAGATGGTCTTCATGTGGAGGTAGGTAGTTAAATGAAATTGCAATGAATTAATATCTCTGTGTAGATATCGCTTACCATGGTGCAGACTTCCCCAGCTTGGTATCTTGCAGATTGTTGGACTACAATTCCCAACATTCCCTAGCCAGCATGGGAGTTCTGGTCCAATACATCAGGCTGTTGAAGGAGGACCAAGCTGGGGAAGGCTGCTGTAGTGCATAAGAGACAAAGGGGTCTGGCCAGTTTGGCTGAATGAAAGGGTGGGGGAAAGACAATGAAAGGGAGTGCTTGACAGTGTTCTACATTCTGAGAACTATTTTAAGTGCTAGGAAAAGTATAAACTATTATTATAGTTCACTTACTGACATCTATGTAGCAAGATGCCAGGTGTTGTATGCAAAACTTATCAAAATTACAGCCTTTAGCCAAAAACACCCAATCATATGACATTGCTGGTGGCAAAGAAGCTGAACAGGATAACATAGTACCAAGAATTCCTGCTTCCTCTGAGTGTTCATTGGAGATCATTTCTGACTCCTGTAGCATGTTTTTCTCGCTTTTGTAGTTTGGCATTTCTGGACTTCTGTCTGTAAAATAGATGGTTCAAATTGTTTTGCTACCTATCAGACTTCTGCTGAAATAAAAATAGAAATAAAAAAATTGAGCAAGTTTACTTGAAAATAAGTTGTGCAAAATTCAGCAGGACTGGGCCTATAGTAAGCAAGTGTGGGATCTCATTAAACATAGTGAACATTTCTGAGAAAATATGCGTAGGATCATTCCCTTCTTAAAATGGTCCATATTATCCTTTTAAAATGCAGTCCTGTGCAAATTGAGACAGAAAAAAGGTCTAAAACAGCATGTTGGAAATTGTAGGCTTTTTTCTGTCTAAACTGGCATGGGATTGCAGCCTTCAATTACTTTTATAATCTACTCATTAAATAAAAGGTAGGAATGCACATTTTAAAATAGTTTGTTAATTTTGACTTGATGGCAGTGCATTAAAAAAATGAACCATAGATTCTCAAAGTATTGCAATTAAAGGTTGGCTTTTTTGACAGATTCTTGGTGGCAAAGATAATCAACTATTCAAGAAGGACCATGTAATTAGACAAAAGCGAGAATGGATTGTCCCTCCTGCAGTCATCTGGGAAGAGATAGACAATTCCAACAAAAATCCCATAGCCAAAGTACGTTGGAACCAAACAAAATAAAGCTTGACAGATTTAATTTGTTCACTATGTTGGGTTGGTATGAAAACATAATCTCACTTGGACATTGTTGTGTAGCATATCCTAATCTTTTAAATGAAATAATACTAACTAAATTGGATTGCTGCCTATCACTTGTCATGACTAAATTATAATGCACTGCAAGTTAAAATCATACCTTTTTAATTGTACTGTTTTTAAAGGTGTTCTGTTCTGACAGTCTTCTAGTGGAAATAATAAGTACCACATTGTGCATGCATTCCTTGGATTTACTTTTCAGCCTCATCCTGTCCTTCCTTTCCACTGTACATCCTACCTGTGGCTTCCATTCTACCAAGTTTCCCATCCCAAGGACTTCTGCTTTCTGTATGGACTGCATGCTTTCTCCCTTACCATCACTTATGTATGGTGCTTTTTCTCAGAATAACCACATATGACACCTCTCTCTTTCCTTCATGCTGTTGCTCAATACCTGACCTCCTGGGGAAACCTTTGACCTAACTCCTTTGTCTTCATCTTTAAGAAAACTACACTTTGCTATGTACAATTGCCGGTCCTCACTTTCTCCCATCGGTACCTTTTGCCTCTTCAATGTTCCTGCTCTCGGTTCTGCTAGTTACATTTGTCCATCTCTCCCCTCTCTAAGATAGCTGAGGTTCAATTGATATAGTTATGAGTTGTCTCTGCAAATAACTGCAAGACCAATAATATAGTCAAGTAATAAAACATTAGCAAGATCCTCTGTAGTTCAGGTTATGTTCACTACAAAATGCTGCTTCAGCTGAGCTCCTCTGTGTGCTCTGGAAAGGATTCAAATGGGGCTCATTTTATTAAGATCAGCAAGGAAGGCCCTTTTTGAAGCATCCTCACATGTAGAGGCCTGTTTGTCAAGCACACAAAAAGAGATTTCTCCTGTGTTGCTCCCAGATTCTAGAATACACATCCTTAATCTCTGTTTTACTATGTTTTTGCTTTATTATGGCTCTAATGTTTTGAATGGCTCTGAAACTGTCTTGGGGGGTTACAGAAAAGCAGTACAGAATTGCAGTTGCTGTTGTTGTTGTCATACTCATTATTATTTCCTCTTATTATTATTTCCACTGAGTTCTTCTCTGGCCCGTGCAGCTGCACAGTTGGAAGAATGAATCAACTGTATTTTGATGAACCATTTATATTAAATTTTCTCTTTAATGGAGAAACGGTAGTAGCAACCTTAAATTATAAAGTGTCTTATGATGTCATGAAGATTATGGATATAATACTACAGATTATGAAAGTACATCCCCATTCATTCTGGCTTTGTCCACAGAAGTGTCTTGTATTATTTTTCAGAAATGTTAAATTTCCAGAAATGTTGAATTCACCTTCCTCATGTTCCTTACAGATACAATCTGATTATGAAGCCAATATGACTATTACTTATGCCATTACTGGCCAAGGAGTCACAGAACCACCATATAAACTGTTTGTGATCAATGGAAAAACGGGAGAACTGAATATTACTGGAATAGTTGATAGGGAGAAAACACCATTTTTACATGTAAGCAAAGGAATTTGAGTGCCTTTTCCTGTTGTTGTTCTTGTTTATTTCATTTCTATACCCCCATAGCTGAAACTCTGCAGACAATTTATGACAGTACATGAAATCAATATGATAAAATACAAAAAAATGCCATAAAATCTTATCAGAAGAAACATTTTAAAAGAACAGCTAAATATACAGGAATGAAAAACAATGTAAAAGAAAAACTTGCGATGAGTAGTCCCCTTAAGCCTGGATAACCAAGGGGTCCAGGAGTAATGGGTCACACCCCACATCTCTCCCAGCGTAGGTCATCATACAGGATAACCAAGGCTGTTTCTGTGCCAAGACCAGGTCTGAAGCCTGACTGAAATGGATTCAGATAATCCGTCTGATTGGTTGGCAATCACCTTGCTCAAGAGCCTTGCCCAGGAAAGGAATATTTGCTACTCGCCTGAAGTAACTTAAGTCATCTGGGTCAAGGGAGGATTTATTCAGAATTGGAGTCACTTTCTCTTGTTTCTTTGCCACCTTCACTGCCCAGTTGTAGGCACACACTAGGATTTGATTGTATGCACTGGGAGTTTTCTTCCATCAGCATTCAGACCATCTCCTATGTTGTTCCAATGCTCTCAGTTCCAGGGTACACCACAGAGCTGCACCAGCTCTACAACAGAGCGAGCAGGTAGGAGCAATTATGTCAGCTGCCTGGGTCATATTTGTGTTCCACAGCTCAACCAGGGCTTTAACAGGAGTGCCAGCCATATGAGCCAGATCATCGTCTGCCCCAAGGCCTTTGGGAAGTATCCAGAACCATCTTAATAGGCAGGGAATAAGCTGCCAACAGTCTAAATTTCAACAGGCAATGATTGTGACAACGGGACTGAGTCAAAGTCCCCCACCCTCAGAGAACCATCCTCATATTTGGCTGAAAATACCCAAGCCTAGGGTGTGCCTGATGACATGCTGGGAAAATCCTTTGGTTGTCATGGACACCATGAAGTCCTAGGTCACTTGCCCAGCATTCCCAAAGCCATCTCACCATTTCAGGATGCCATTTCAGAGACCGCTCAGCACTATGAAGCATGTCATTTGCCATCTCCCAGCCTTTACTGTATTCCATTGTCTTGTATAGTATTTCATGATTGTATGGCATAATCCAGTTATATGGCTATTTTTTTCTTTCCTGTTATTTTATCTATTACAATTCCAGCTGAGAGGTTATGCAATGAATGCGCAAGGTGTCAATGTGGAAAAGCCATTAGACCTGAGAATTAAAGTCCTGGACGTTAATGACAATAGTCCAGTGTTTTCACAGGAAGTTTTTTCTGGTTCTGTTGAAGAATTGTGTGCTGCAGGTAAGTCCTAGATTTTTCTTAAATCATTTTGACTAAACAGCAGTTCCTACATAATTATTTTGGCTTCATTCATTTTTCCTAACCATTCTTACTTCTGTACCCTTGTATAATCTTACATATTGTTGAAACCTTGACTTCACACTGATTTCACAGCCATAGCTAGCTCACCTGGGATTCTAGTATGGTCCTTTGAGAATTCACAGATAGCCACATTCCCCTAACCATCAGGTTTTTTGGATTTTGTGCATTTTACCCAATTCTAAAATGCAGAAATGCATTTCTTAAAGTAGTTACTGGCAATAAGGGCTTTAGGATGCAATCCTATGCATGCTAGGGATTGTAGTACTTTTCTCTGCCTAAACACCTGCAGGATTGCACTCTTAAAACTACTGACGTTTTTTGTACTTATGTCCCTCCCCTTCTGCCTTTGCATGCCAGACCCGCAAGAGCTTCGCTAAATTTGCACTGGTCCTCGGTCTGAAAGAAGCTCCTCATTCCTGTAGTTTTAATTTATTTATTTATTTATTTATTTATTTAAAACATTTCTATCCCTTCCTTCATGACAGCATCTCAGAACGGCTTACAAAGCTTAAAATCAACAACAATAATAAAAAACAATCAATAATACAGTAGACAATAATAAATAGTAATAATAAATACAATCAGTAGTAAAAACACAATCAGAGTTAAAATAATAAATAAAAATGAACAAATCACTTACAAAAGAAAAAGAAAATATGACTGTTAACTTAAACATCTAAAATCCCTAATTCTTAAAATGACATTCAAATAAAAAGGTTTTCACCTGCTGCCGAAACAAGTATAGGCTTGGCACCAGGCAAACCTCTCTGGGGAGCGCATTCCACAGTCTGGGCGCCACCACAGGGAAGTCCCTCCTCCGAATGGACACCCTCTTTACCTCCTTCAGGGAAGGTTCTTGGAGCAGGGCCTCTCCTGCAGATCTTAAGGGGCATGAGGGCATAAGGAAGGACATGTTCCTTCAGGTATCCTGGTCCCAAGCCATTTAGGGCTTTATAGGTTAATACCAGCACCTTGAATTGGGCCCAGACTTCAATCGGAAGCGAGCGTAGCTGGTAGAGGACCAGCGTTATATGAGAATAACAACCAGTCCCCGTCAGCAGCCTGGCAGTTCTATTTTGTTCCAATTGAAGTATCTGGACCGTTTTCAAGGGCAGCCCCATGCAGAGCACATTCAGCCGGCAAGTTCCCAGGCATGTATCACCGTTGCTAGGCAGTGCTTGTCCAGGTAAGGATGCAGCTGATGGACCAGCCAAAGCTGGAGGAAGGCGCTCCAGCTTAAATTTATTGCAATTTAGTTTTGCAATAAATTGGGAACATCCCACATTTCATTGTAGGCCGATTAGGGGGAAACCGTAGAAAATCTAATAAAAAATAATACTGCAACAGACACAGAATGGATTACAAAAAGCAAATGTATTGCATTTCCATTGCATAATTCTTTCCAGACCACTGGAGAGGCCATTTGCTTTAAACTTTAACTGGGTTTGCTTCTCCTGGCTTGCGTCTATGGCAGGAAGACAGGGATGTAGCTTTTTTAGTACAATCCTGCCCAAAAGAACACCCTGCAGGTAGAACCATAGTGCAGTAGGGGTAGTACTGAGCTGAAAGATTTATCTGAAAATAAACTCTGTAATGGATCCCAGCTAAACTGTATAGCAGGGGTGGCCAAACAGAGGTTCACAAGCCCACATGCGGCTCTGGGTTTATTTTGCATCTCGCCTCTCATCACCCACAAGCACCCACTTGCCACTCACTGCCTGCCACTGCCACCCACTTGCGGCTCTCAAACACCTGACATTTTTCACATGTGACTCTTCTGTTGCACGAGTCCAGCCACCCCTGCTATACAGCATACATTATTGTTTTCACTCATTATGAACATATCATTTATTTTAAAATTATGTGATGATTATTTCTAGCACTTCCTTCATTGCCAAATCCAGTGGACAGAGAACAAGTCCAAAAGTCTTGCATCATTAAAAACATCTTTAGGGTTTAGCTGTCTTGCTCTTATGTACACTTTTGATAAAGCATCCATACTTGAATTAAGGGTGTACTTGAATCTGAGTGTGTACTTCTATTCAAGTTTGGACAGAAAAAAGTGCTACAGCTCCCATATTTCCCCACCCAGCATGGCTGATTGGGGTCTTCTAGGAGTCATAGCACTTTTTTTGGAGGGGGTGTCTGAACAGGAATGCAAATGCACCCTGTATAAAATTTAGAAGAGCAGTATTCAGATATTCAGTAACCTTCAGTTCAGTCTTGTCCGTCCAGCAGCAAAGAGTATTTTGCTTTGTTTTAATTTTGACTCTTAGGTACTCTGGTCCTGAGGATAATTGCAACTGATGCAGATGAACCAAATAACCTCAACTCCAAAATTGCTTACAAGATCGTTTCACAACAACCGAGTTTTCCTGCTTCCATATTTCAAATTCACAAAGAAACAGGAGAGGTTCACACTACAGTGTTCCAGCTTGACAGAGAGGTAAGCTTTTCCCCCCTCCTGGTTCTCTTTTAATGCCCATCCAGTGTACTTGATCCAATTTTTCACTTACAAGGTAGAAGTGTGATAGGCACTTGGTGGTTTCCCAGCATTGCCCACTATTCCAAAAGGCTGAAATGGCTTTCCTGGAACTTAGTTACAGGCAGTGAAAGTTCTAAACAAAAATATGCTGCTAGTTTTTCATATTTTGGCCTTTTTCTTTTGAGTCTCACCCACAATTGGAAAACAGCCCCGAGGGCTTCTCATAACTGAATTTGGCCTTCAGGCTGAAAGAGATGCAGCACCACTGCCTTAGGGGATAGAAGTGGGGTAGTGTCCTTGGTTTGTGGCCCTTGTTTCCCAGCCTCTCGCCCTGCAGCTCCTTCTCCCAGGACCAAGGCAGCAAATATCACCATCCAAATGTGTGCAAGGGGTGACATGATGAAGTACTTGATGAAATTGCCCTGCCTCTGACTTGAAGGATGCCACATGTTACGAAACCTCTAGTTTAATTTTTGATTTTCATACCCTTTCATTCACTTATGCATTCCTGTTTGGAAATTCATGTAGACACAAAGTAACTACTCCTTAATTGTGGAAGCAAAAGACTATAATGGGCAGTCAAGGGGGATGAGTCAACAGACAACTGTACAGATCAAGATTCTGGATGTCAATGACAATGTTCCTGTTTTTGAAAAAGCTGTGGTAAGTAATTTGTCTGCAAGGCTTGCCTGTTTTTGCATGCAAATAGCAATTTCTGTCTTGATTAAAATGGACAAGGTGTTAACGGGCTTGCTCATTTGCAGTATGAAGGAAGTGTTAAAGAAAACACAGCAAATGTGGAAATTATGCGACTGAAGGTCTTCGACAGAGATGAAAAATTCACCGATAACTGGCTGGCAAAATTCATGATTTTGTCTGGCAATGAAGGAGGCTATTTCCACATAGAAACAGATTCACAAACCAATGAAGGAATTTTGACACTGATTAAGGTTAGTGCAGAGGAGTTTCAGCAGTAACTCAACATGTGTTCCACTGGCCTTGATCCAGATATTGTCGTGAGCTAGGCATCCCCTCCCAAATGAGACAGGCACTTCAGCAATTATTAAAAGAATCTTTATTCCATACAGAAACATCGTATTCACAAGCCTTGAAACACACACTCCAGGTGGAAAGTTGACCCCTCGCTCTGCCCCCCCTCACCCAAAGCTTTGCTTATGAACCCTTTGGGGCCAGCCTCTGGATGGGAGCATGCTATGGAAGTGACCACATCTATGTTCTTCCCACTGAGTCCCTAATTGGTCTAGCTGGCTGGGACATCGACGGTCCCTTGCATCCTCAACTCCTGGGTTGTCAAGTTCTCCTCCTGAGAACCTCTCCCCAGCCTGTTCTCCACCAGCTTCTTTCCCACAATTGTATGGTTGCCCTTGAAGTGCTTTGATCCAGAGCTGGCTTGGGCAGGCTCACCTGGAGAGTTTGGGCATGTGGAGCCTTGCTAGTCTCAACAACTCCAATATGAGAGTGAGAACTCTGAGCCACAGCTAGTTCAGCTATCCACTTCCCCTCTTCCGAGTCTGAGCTGCCATTCCCACCAAAGCCCTTTATCTCTCATGCACGCCTGGGAATCTCATCCGAGTGCACACGCATGACAGATATGCTTCCACATATGCAACACAAGAAAGTATGAAGCACTGTAGGAGGCAGCTAGCAGACACAGGTTCCTGTGGATGGGTTTCCTATTGTTAAGAGGACCAATGTGTTCTTCCAGATTGGTAGTGGCATCATTTTGACCACTTCTCTGCAAAGAAAACAAAGTAATATTTCTGTTCTGTTCCCCCATTACTGTGAGGTTTTGTGGCATGGTAGGATGATTTGCATGTAGAGCAGCTGTCCCATGTACACAGCTTCCAGACAGCACATGAGTAGGAGTGCCTGAATTTTTCTATCTGCTGATGAGTCATAGGCATTTCAGACATGTCGAAAAGCTCCTTTTTGGTATGCTTTTACCCAGTTCTACCCAACCACTGTCAGGAGCAGAGCTAGCCCCAGCTCCCCTTATTTAAATATGGGTCTGGTGAGTATGATGTCAGCCAGTGGCTAAAGCTACAAGCTGGAAGCTAAAAAGCAGGAAGTAGTAATATGCCTGGACCTGGGAAAAGCAGCTCTTTATAAAACATTTCTACACTGCTACATTTCTACACTGGCCCTTGCTTTCTGGTCATGGGAGATGATGTCTGATCACCCTGTGCCAGTCTGTGTTTGGGCCTGGCCTCACATGCTGACAGAATTAGCCTTCCAAACTTCAGAAGTCTCTGATGTTCATCACAACACTTGGCTTGACTTAAGAGCAAATTCCTGTGTGTGCTTTACATATGAAATGTCACTGGATTTTGGAATTGGTATGTATGGTACTCCCCTACTGAGAATACAAGTAGGTGTGTAAATTGGATAATTACAATTGACATATCTGTAGGCTCCCTACCAGATAGAAATCCTGCGATGGTATCTATAAATATGTTAACTTACATTACACAGAGAAGGGACTTGATTGTTGATTGTTGGCAGAGATGGTTGTTTTGCACAGAAAAAAACTTGTGTAGTCTTTGTTAATGTCATTGTGAATAATAAAGAAAACCCCAAATATCTCTGTACACGCTCTAATTAGAGGCATTTGTGCATTTTTGCACACTTAAAAATGAGGTATTTTGATGATGATAAAAGCAGAACTGAAGCGAAAATGACTGTTTTGACTAGTTGTAGTTGTTGGATTTGTTAGGTTTGGGGAGGAACTATTTGCTTTTTCCCCATTTGGCATATTTCACAGCAAAATGTCCCTGTTTTAATTTTTTAAAAAGCTTTTGTGTAGAATATTAGTCATTATTCAAGTTAGGATATACAGTGCACATATTCTAACTTATATGTTTTTTCTCACTTTCTTTTTAGGAAATTAATTATGAAGAATTGCAGACAATGGACTTGAAAATTGTGGTTTCTAACAAAGCAGCATATCACCAATCCATTATTAGCCAGGGCTACCAAGCAAAACCTATTCCAGTTAAGATTAATGTAGAAGATGTGAAGGAAGGCCCCATATTTAAGCCCCAAACACTGGTGATTAAAGTAAGCGAAACAATGAAATTGAACCAGATTATTGGAAGTTACCAAGCTTATGATGAAGATACTGGAAAAATAGCAGAACACATCAGGTAAGAGTCCTGATTTTTATCAAGTTACTGTAAAGCAGTCAGTAATCTAAATATAGTTCTCTGTGATGGTGGGATGCAGTTGGTGTCTATGTCTTTCACTTCAAATATCCCTAGGATGCATTCAGACTCTTACATAACGAACTGCCTTATCCATAAGATGTAATGATTTATGAGTGTGATGTGGCACCACTTTTCCCTTCTAATCCTTCCAATTCCTGTGTTTTTATGGCATGCACATGTATAGGATTTTTTTTCAAAATGACTGTATTCAAACTTTTTGTGCTACATTACTATGTATCTTCTTTACAATGTGAGTGAGTTTTAAAAACTACATGAAATCACGTTGGCAGAAACATGGAATAACCAAATGATCATGCTCAACTATATACCAAAACAACCAAATTAGTATTTTCTTGCCCTAAACTGCTTTTATATATTGGTGGCTGTGAATATTCTTATATATGTTTAACATTTGCACAGGTATGCCAAATATCAAGATGTTGGAAACTGGTTTTCAATAGACTCTAAAACTGCTGAAATCAAACTTATTAAAGTGCCTGACTACGAATCATCATTTGTTGTCAATGGGACTTATACTGCATTGATTGTGGCAATAACTGAGGGTACGTAATGCCTCCCTTTCCCCTTCTTCCTAAATAATGCATCAGCATCTCATTCATGCCAAATGTTCATTGGCTTGCTAGAACTGAACAAAGCTAGACTTGGGAACTGGCAGTAACATTGAGGTAGATGAGCTGTAATCATTTATCAAATTTTGCTTCAGCTTACTGGATTGTTTGGTTTTTGTGTAGAGTACCTGATGCATTGGTGGCATTGAATAGATAACAGTGGAGACCTCTGATAAAGCCATTACATTGCTTACTTCAGGAAGACCAAACAAATGGGATTGCACTCAAATGTAACCCCATATGCTTGTAACAATAGCCCGTAACTTAATTAACCCATGCCTTGTTAGCTCACAAATCAGCTGCCAGACAATCAAGCACATCAGGGGTTGTTTTTCCAGAGTAGGAGAGCCTTATCAAAGACTGCATAGTAAACCTCATTGACATGGTCTTTACGATGCCAGAATGAGCCAAGCCCAAAGAACTAGAGCACCACTATGGTAATTCCAATAATTGACAAACAAATATATCCATGAATATGGACTGCATTCTGTAGTAAGCAGTACAGCCAAGCTAGACAAGAACAAGGTCCATCCAATCCAGCATTCTGTTACACAAACAGATGCAAACAGCTGCCTGGGGAAAGCCCACAAGTAGAACATGAATGTAGCGCTCTCACTCATTTTCCCTAGCAGCAGCTGCACATGGACATACAGCTTCTGATATTGTATGTAGCAATAACCCTTAGGACCAGTAGCCATTGGTATCCATCTTCTCTGTCCAACCTCCTTTTAAAGCCATCCAAATTGGTGGCCCCATGACATTATGTGGAAGTGAATTTTTTAATTTAACTGTGTGCTGTGTGAAGAAGTAGTTCCTTTTGTCTGTCCTGAATTTCTTACTAATTAGCTTTATAGGATGTCCCCAAGTTCTCATATTATGAGAGAGGAAGAAGAATTTCTCCCTATCTTCTTTCCACACATCATCCATCATTTTGCACACCCTATCCTGCTTCCCTATGCTTTCCCATTTTCTAAGCTAAAGAGTCCCAGCTGTTGTAACCTTTCCCAGTTGCGCTACTGAAGCAAACTGTACACTTCTTGCAAGCTACACTGAGCTCATGCTAGAATGATGGAAGCAAATGAACTTTTAAAAATCAAATCTGTATTTTTATGCAATGTAATGCTAACATTCCACCCTGTCCATTTTGCAGACTTCCCTTCAAAAACAGTTACAGGTACCATTAATATTCAAGTGGAGGATGTTAATGATAACTGCCCAACTCTTACAACTCGAGAGACAACTGTCTGTACAGATGCAAAGTTCATTAACATCACTGCTGAGGATAAAGATGCTCATCCAAATGGTGGCCCTTTCACTTTCTCTATCATAAATGAGCCTGAAAAGATGACGGACAAATGGATAATTGGGCAAGTAGACGGTAAGTAAGAATCAGTATGGCCTGCTTATTGACTTGTAGTGATTTTCCCAATATATATCTGGCCTTTCACATCCAAGAAAATCTTTTTCAGAGGAACATTCCATGACAAGCTGCACACAGGGTCATGGAGGGAAGGATGTAGTGGGGCTTGGTGACTGCTTGTGCCATTGAAAGACAGATTTAAAATTATGCATAAATTATAATACATAAATTTGAAAGAGAAGTGATACATTTAAAAATATGCATTAGTTAATAAATAATGTGAGGGGCTACTGCCCCCCACATGCCACTTCCCAAAATATTTTACAGTAATTCAAGGTGCAAGATTGCAGGGAGTGAGGAACATAGACATATTTAAAGATGAGTACCTCATTCAGCTCCCACCTGATGACATCCTTGCTAGCCCATTGCGGCAGGAGAAATCCTGGGCAGTCAGGTCCCAAGTTGTCCATTTCCCAGGAGTTAAGTAAGGAGTGGAACAAAACTTAGACAAGTATATTGCCCCACTATTCTCTGTTAAGGAGATAAGAAAAGTCAGGCTTTTCTTACCAAGAAAAGTCAGGATCTTAGCAAGGGTCTGTCTAGTCCAGCATTCTGATTGCATGGTGGCCAACCAGCTGTTAGCAGGAAACCCACAAGCAGGACATGAATACAACAGCACCCTCCCAACCGTGTTCCCCAAAAACTGGTGTACGGAAGCATACTGCCTCTGATACAGAAGTAGTATATACCATCAGGAGTACTAGCAATTGCTAGCCTTATCCTCCAGGAACTTGTCTAATCCACTGTTAAAGCCATATAGATCAGCAGTCATTTCTACATCTTATAAGAAGTAAAATGCATAGTTTAACTATGAATTGTGTGAAGAAACACTTCTTTTTATCTGCCCTGAATCTCCCACCAATCGTCATGGCAAGACTCTGGGTTCTTGTATTAAGAAAGGAAAAGAAAAATGCCCCCTATTCGCCTTCTCCACACCATGCATCATTTCGAACACCTCTGCCTAAGTTTACTCCTTTTTTATAAGCTATAGAAACTCACTTGTAACCCTTCCTCATCAGATAGCTGCTCCAGTCCCTTGATCATTTCAGTTGCCCCTTTCTGCACTTTTCCAACTCTACCGGATACTTTTTGAGTACAGTATTCTAATTGTGGTTACACCATAGATTTGTATAAACACAGTATGATATTGGGGCTTTTATTTTTAGTTCTATTCCTAATTCTGCCTAGCATGGAGTTCACCCTTTCTCTAGCAGCTGCACACTGGATTGACATTTTCATTGATTTCTTTCTTGGTCAGTCACTGCCAACTCAGTCACTACTCAGTGACCCATCAGCCAGTACTTGCAGTTGTGGGGATTGTTTGCCTTACTGTGCATTACTTCATATGCTTACTTACACTGAGCTAAATGCCATTCTGATGCTCATTCCCCCAGTTTGGCAAGTTCCTTTTAGAGTTGCTGAATATTTCTTTGTTTATTTTTATTGAATGATTTGGTGAGGGTAAATAAATTGAGAATCAATCCAGACAAAATGGAGGTATTTTTAATAGCTGGTTCATCTGCCCAATCTATCCTGGAAGATAGATTTCACATCCTCTAAAGCTAGCTCTCAGCTTCAAAGAGATTTGAGGCTCTCCGCATGCCCACTGAAGGTACATATGGCCTCTGTCACACAGAGAGCCTTTTATTGTGTTGTAAGCTACCCCGAGGCTTCGGCAAGGGGCAGCCTAGAAATGTTTTAATAAATAAAATTGGCTGAAATATCAGCTAGGACAGTGATCACCTGACTATATCCATAGTCTGGTAGCTTCTAGTTTAGAAAACTGCACTCTGTTATTTGTGATTCTGCTCTTGAAAAATGGTCCAGAAGGGTCAGCTCATCCAAATTAGGGAGCAAGATTGTTAACAGAAATCAAATGTAAGATGGATGATTGCCTTCCATTTGAGGCCTGATTCAAATTGCATCCCCAAAAAGATGTGCAATGGTTTTAATTGTGCCTAAAAAGACATGGAATAGCATTCTATACCGTGTGTCACATTAGCAAGCGCTACTGATATTGTGCACACATTGTTTTCTGCTAGCACAGCATCAATAGTGCTAGCAGCTGGATGCCACTGCATATTTCCCTCAGTTCTTTAGAAGAGGGAAAGGAACATGTCAACACCCCCCCCCCCACCAATGTTTCTGGTCAGTCCTCAACCTTTGGAGAGCTGCAGGTTCCTTGGCCCTGCTTTAGAACATCAAGTTGAAAGCCCTAAAGTGGCTCCTGCTAACACTTTGTTAACTAAGATGAGATGTCTGTTCCATTGCCTTTACGCTGCTTTGCATTTGTTGGTTTCTCCCCTGTGAAGGATTTAGAGCACAGGTTGTACCACAGACTATAAAGCCTGGCTTCTACGAAGTTCCACTCCTAGTGAGAGATAACCAAGGCCTCAGCTGTACTGAACCGCAAATCCTAAAGGTGCACGTGTGTGAATGCGTAGAGGGTGTTGGTTGCCGCGAGAGCATCGTCAGTTCCTCAGTCATGCTAGGACCTGCAGCAATTGCACTGATGATTCTGGCACTTTTGTTGCTGCTGCGTAAGTAACCAGTTATTCCGTAAGGACTCAATGCATGTTGAGCACTGCACAAAATTCTGACAAAATGAATCCTACATTTGGCAGCTTTCAGACTTTCCACTAGATCCTGCCTGCATTAGTCTTAAAGTTGACCCACTGAAATCAGTGGAACCTGAGTTAATTATTACTAACTTTAGCCCAACTGATTTCAATACATCTAGTCCAATCATGACTACGTTTGGACCTAATCCTTTCACTTTATTTTTAAAAAGGATGCTGTAGGCATGATAAGCCATAGTTAAATGCTTTATGAATTCTCTCCCACTGAAACCGATATGCTTTAAGAGTATGTAATATTTTGCATATAATGCAGTAAGGAGATAGGAATCATTACATTTTTCTTTAATATATACTTAAAGTTTAGAACCCTCATTCCTCTTGTTTCTTGCTAATACCTCAGTTGTCTAATTCTGCAAAATGCCATCCAGCAGCTTGGCAGAAAATCCAGTAGGTAGCCAGGAACTTTTCCAGACATGAAATAGAAACGGAAGCAGCTTATTTTTTCTGCATTTGCTCACAAGGACATAGGAGCACAAGAATGGCTCACCTAGTCCAGCATACTTTTCTGGCAGTGGGCTACAAGATGCCCCACTGAAAGTGCCAGAGGCAAGACCTGAGTGTAAAAGCACCCTCCTGTTTGTGTTCACCAACAACCAGTATTCAGGGGTGTACTACTTCTGATATGGGAGGTAATGTACATCCATCAGGACTAGCAGCCACTGATACCATTATCTTCCCTTAATTTGTCTCATCCCTTTTTAAAGTCACCCAAGTTGATGGCTATTATTGTTGCCTGGCACAAATCAATGTATCAGGTCAGAGGATACTAAACACCTATTCCCTGCTGGCTGGAAATATTGCTGTGCCTCTGAGCTGGAGTCTGGGATTTCACAAGTTGCACCTGCCCTCATATTTTCAAGCCTCCCTTCATAGTCATGAGGGCTAGAAAGTTTGTCTTATCCATTATTTATTATTGATGAAAGCTGGGGTTTTCAAGGTGCTCGATTTTGCACCTAGTAAGAAATTTTGTATTTGGATGGTACTGTGGGATGTGTACAGTCCTGAACAGGTAGAGCCTGCTTTAATAATAAACAAGTGGAAAAGAATAGAGATTGTCTGCTACTGTTAATGCTCAGTTCTAGGGTGTTCTTACTGCATGTGAATGTTTAAATGTACTGAGCTGCTGAACAGTATATATCCGGGCACAACTGAGACAAAACCTGTTTGAGCCATGTTTGATTAGATGTAGATTTTTCTAGAACATTTTAACAGTTTGACTAGTTTATGGGGTACTTGGTTGTCTAACTGGATGGATTCAGGCTTTGCCTTGAGAAATCCCAGCACTTTCGTGACTTTCCCTGATATTAAATCTTTGGTTACTTATTGATTGCTGTGTCCCTTTGCAGTTTTGCCTCTTTTACTGTTGGCATGTCACTTTGGATCAGGCGCTGCAAAAGGCTTTGCAACAATTCCTGATAACAGTGAAGAAATGTTGCGCGCCTGGAACAGCGAAGGGGCAGCACCTGAAGACAAGGTACCCTTGGGTCTTGGCCTAGCTTGGCATCCTTGATTTTGCGTTTCCTGTCTGATAGCACTATTCTGTGCATGCCTACTCAGATGTAAGTGGCAATGAGTTCTAGGGGTCTTATTTCCAAGTCAGTGTACATGGGACTGCAGCCCAAATGTCCATTTTAGACAATAGATTAGTAGAAGCAAGCATGTGCTTTTGTCTTGTATCCATCACACTAAATCAGTACAGTGTAATGTGTATGCAGAATGAGAAAGAAGGAATATGGAGGTTGTAGTACTATTGGTGATGGGAGTGTGAAGGCCCACAGTCCTACCTGGTATCTTGGTAGCGAATCCTATTGAAATCAATGGGACATAGGCCACAGTCCTACTGGATTACTTGGGTGTAAATCCCTCTGAAATCAATGAGGCTTACTTCTTAGTAAATGTGTGTAGAATTGCTTTGTTGGTCCCAGGAGTTGAATTCAGGTTTAATCCTATGTAAAACAGACCCTTTGACAATCTAAAGGCCCATTCATTTCAATGTGTCTGCTCTCCTTCTGTACAGTCTGGACTAAACCCAGATGAACATAGGCAGGATCAGGCTGTGCAGAAGCTATTCTCATTTTTTTTCAGAACAGATGCACTGACTAAGTCTAATGAGATCTGGGGTGCCTTTATTGAGTTTGTGCTAAAAGGGGGAAAGGATTTGAATTGTCAAAAGAATCATTGCAATTTTGGAAGGGGGAAATGTCCTGAAAGAATGTCTGAATGAGTTTTCTATCTGTCACATGTGTCCTATTGTCCTGGTGGTAGAGGGCACACTATTGTCAAGATTTATTTTAACTGTATGTTAATTCTGTGTTTTTATTTTGGTTGTATATTTTTTCTTGGTTGTATTTTAGGTTGAAAATTAATTTTAAAATATTTTAAAAAATCAGAACAGCTGTACTGATGTGAATGGGAAGGGAAAATAGCTGAGAAGCTCTGTTTAATCCACAGTTATTCTCACTGAACCAGGAAGTCGCTAGAGTTAGGGTTACAGCTAGAGCTGTTGCTCTGAAAAGTGCTTGAGGGAAATGCAGGTGTCCATACCTTTGGGTAATTTTACCAGTGTTCTCAGCTATTATAAATTTCTTTTCTCCAGACAAGAAATGCACAAAATTGTGATAGCAACTGCTGTGTTCTGTTTGCTGGTCTCAGCATGCCTTCTTCATTTAATATTCCATTTTTATTGTTACCTTTGACAGTTAGGCCTCAGCTTCACTGCTTCTCCTGCATCGGACAACACCGGCTCAAACATGGGAGTTGGAGCAGCAGTGACAGATGGAGCAGCCTGCAAATCGGCGGGTGCCAGCGGCTCTTATTCCATGACTAAAGAACACTGCAAGTTTGTGGATGGGCAGTGGAAAGAGACACAGCATCTTCTTTCTAGTGCCACTCTTGGAGGCAAGGGGGCGGGAGGGGGGTTGGGCATGAGCGCAGGAGGCGGCATGGTCGAAGGACGGGCCACAATCACGGCTGGCAGAAGAAGCATGCTGATGGAAAGCGGGGGCGCCATGACTGAAGAATTCTTAAGGAGTTACTTCTGTGATGTAAGACTCCATGCTCTTTGAGAAACTCACTCTCTTGATTCACAATTGTCACCGTTTTGAAATTGTGGGGCAGTTTTTATTTTTCACACACACATCCCCCCTCTTCTTTTAGGATTGGTTTGGTGTGTGTCGTCTCGCTTCTTCTCACAGAGCTGAGCCAGAAATGCTGACTCACCTCTGCACTTCCACCTGCTGGACATAAAAATGACATGGCATACTCATTGATTTCTGAGGGGATGGATGATAGAAGTTCTTATTTTCAGGAGATGTGGACAAGCGATAGCATTTCAGCATGTTCCCCCCATTTTTGACCGTGCAGCTTGGCAAGTGCAAGCAGCAGTGGCTTTCTTCATGACGACTTGGTGATCTGCCATTTTCCCCGTAATGCATCTCATCAAATTACACATAGCATCCGTTGAGAGTTATGGTTGATAATACAATACCTGTCACATGATATTGTGTCAGGATGTAGCATCATTTGAAGCGAAACATTATGAGGAAATGCGGCTGCAGAAAAGAAGCCCACTGCTACATAGCCACACTCAACTTTTAAAAAAGGAAAAGCATCACTGATAACACTTGTTGGATTAAATGATGCTATCAGTACTTGTCCTGATAGGGCACACCATCCCTGAAAATGTGGATTTCTTCACATTCTTCACTACATCTTCCATGCCCAGATGGGTGGATTTTTCTTTGTCTTTTATTAATACTTCAAATATAAAAAATTAAAATGACAAAGCAGAACTCCCATTGATTCCAACCAAGACTCCCCCCCACACACACGTCCTTCTTTTTAATCTGCATATGTCATAAAGAAGCAAACCAGAGGGAACATGTACTCCTCCCTGTGTAGTCCTTCTTGCCAAGTCCGAATCAAAACTATGCACATTTACTATCAAGTTAAACAAAAAGGCTCAGCTATGCAGTACTCTTGTAACATAAAGTAGTTTGACCTTCAAAGTCAGGCTTGCCTCATCTGATGTTTTCCAGATGTTTTGGAGTACAGCTCCCATAATTTCTGACCATTAGCCATGCTAGCTGAGGCTGATGAAAGATGCAACCTAAAGTATCTGGTGGCACCAAGTTGGAAAAGGCTGCTCAAAGTGATATCCAATGTGTACACAAACTCAAAATATGGTTTGGTACAGTTTGCCAGCTAGAATTTATTGGAATCATTTATTTGTTTGTTTGTTTGTTTGTTTGTTTAAAGTTTTTCTATTTCGTCCCCTTGCTACATAGCCTCGGGACAGCTCACAGCAATAAATAAATAAAACAAGTACAATTACAATTAAAACTTGGAAACACACTGGCTGCACAATTAAAAACTATAAATATTAAAGATTACTAAAATACTATTTGAATAAAAAGGTCTTGGCCTATAACCAATGATTATTTTAAAATGTGTCATATGATCTATACAGTTTACCTGAAAAGACCATTTAAATCTTGGGGGATCTGGGCAGAGAAAATTGGTAATCAGTAAATTGTCAGGAATTACTAATGTGAAGAGCCTTCTCCAACTTGGTGCTCCCAAGATATTTTGGATTGCAACTCCCAGTATCCTTCGTTATTAGCAATGCTGTCTGTGGTTTTTAGGAATAGGAATCCAAAACATCTGGAAGACACTGAACTGGGGAAGGCTGGTGTACAAGGCTGGAAGTTCAGCAATTCAGAAAATGAAACCGTTCTAGAGGATTTTAAACTTCCAGGAATCCTGCTGCCAGACTTTGAACTTTTGTGGTTCATGGTTTGCAGCCATGCTGTTTCTAGATTAAAGCCTAATTTGAACATGTTTATGTAATTTTGGTGGTTAACTGGTGTTTGAGTTAAAGAAAACTATGACTTCTGAAATGTGAATATTCACAGTTCTTGTTCTTCTATGTTTTAGAAAGCTGATGCTTTTGCTGATGAGGATGAAGCACATCTTGCAAAAGATTGCCTACTAGTTTACTCTCAGGATGAAGAAAAAGATTCTCTCCATGGCTCTGTTGGCTGCTGCAGCTTTATTGAGGGTGACTTTGATGACCATTTCCTGGATGACTTGGGTGACAAATTTAAGACTCTGGCAGAGATTTGCTTGGGCAAACGTATAGTCACGGAAGTTGGACAGCACAGCTCTCTAAACCGTAAAGACGCTAGTCCTAATTCTGCAGTGAATGAATCAGATGCACAGTACTTACATCAGCAGAACATCTCCAGTTCCCAACTCACTTATACTTCAGGCCCAGGCTACCAAGTACCTGAAACTATAAGAGGTTTAGGTTCCGAGGCTGTCACCAAGGTGTCAGTAAGAGCTATTCCTGACCCTGTGGTTAGTAGCAGCAGTGGTATAGTGACAGAGGCCTCTTATGAGGCAAGACCCTCAACAGAAATCCTTAACTCTCAGTTTAAGGAGAATGTGGTAGTGACAGAGAGGGTACTTGCCCCAACTTCTGACTGGCACGATATGCTAGACAGTTCTGATCAAGGTTTCCCAGACCTCTCAGATTCAAAGTACGTCCTTATCAGAGAAAGGGAGAGGGTCCTTGTACCCAGCTCTGATCTAAAGGCTTCCTTAAGCATCCCCAATTTATCAGATGGAAAGAATGTTGTAGTAACTGAGAGGGTGCTGGCTCCCACCACTGGGATGAGGAGCACAGCAGAAGCAGCTACTTATTCTGACACTGATAAACAGGAGAAGATCCTTATCTCTGACCCTTTCTTTAAGCAAGATGGCCCACAGGAAGCCCTTTCCTCTGGGTCTACCATTAGCAAGTCTTCAACAGTAAAACAGTACAGCTCTGTGCAGTACACACACTCGTAGGTGGTGTGTTCTCACCACCAACCCTTTGTATTTTACGTTGACCACTGAAAGGGTTGAAGCAAAGATGAGCAGCCAGCAGCCCTAGGAGAGCATGTAGCCCTCAGCTAATTTCACAAGTCCTTTGCCTACAATCTACTCAGGCTTCTGAGAAGAGGGATCTGTCCCTTCTCTGGAATCCCTCTGTAGAGGTTACACATGTACTTTTGGTTCTTGCCCTGCTTACATGCCAACATGCTGCCCCAGACCAAAACAAGTTACCCACTCCTGGATTAACTAATGGCTTTCTCAAGGATGGCTATATCTGCTTTCCTCACAGTAGTCTCTATAACAGAAAGCTCCATAACAACCAAAGAAAGTATTTCAACCCTAAACACACTTACTAAGGAGTAAGGCCCATTGAACATAGCAATACTTATTTCTGTGTTATATTTCCTAGGATTGTACAGTTCTTTTTAAAAAAAAGTACTACAAGGCACTACTCAAGCTGTGGAGCTGTAAACCATGTTCAGTTGATTCAGCTCATTATACAGCAAACTTTAAATTGCTATTCTTCACTAACCTGTAATGTGGTTCTTTAATGTGTTGTTTCAGAATTAAATTTCAATGAGTTTATTAGAGTTATTCCCCAGTAAGTGTGTTTGGCATTGTAGCCCAAGGCCATTGTATTCTAATCCAACAATGAAACATATTGCCTTCAAAGTTAATTTTTTTCACAGTGCAGTTTTAAGCATGTTTGTTCAGAAGTAAATCCCAATGCGTTCAATGGGACTTACTGCCTACTAAGTGTTTTCTGGAGTGCAACTTTAAGGCTGTTTTAACAGGCTATTTAATGGCAGTAGAAAATATGCATGCTACTTAAAAAGAGTATCTCACTTCATTTCTAGTGCTTTAAAAAAACAAAAAAATGCTCCCACAGATTTTCACATGCCTAAACACAAAGATAAATTTTAAAAGAGGTGGAGTGAACATGAGAATCCAGTCTAATCTTGTTTCACATATTTGTTACCCACTTCAAAGATAAGCTTGATTTATCTGTATGCAAATATTTTGGAAACATTGTATTTGAACAGGCTATCACATCATTTCTGAGAGTATCTGAAACAGCAGTAAGTATTACAAAGGACAGGTAGAATTGCAACAAAATGCAGCAGTGTGCAGTGTGTGCAGAGGAGGCTGAACTGAACAAATCTGGAGTTCCATCTAGGTGAGTCTTGTATTCATAACAGATACAGGACTCCTTTTGCCATATGCATATCTAGCTTCAGTCGCTTGTGCAGAGCACCACAAAACTTGAATTATAAACTTAAATTAGATTTTTGAATCTGATATGAGCACAAGACTTCCATTATATCCATAGAACTACCAAAGGTTCAGGGCTACCCTCCTTCATTTCAGTGGAGGTATATGAGCTGTATGTTCATCTGTGAATGCATATTGGCTTCATCCATTAAAATACATGGAAAACTCACATACATGAAAACATCCTGTGTGAGCATCTCCAGGCTGCCTTAGAGTTGCATTTTTCACAGGACGTCAAGCAGTACTTCAGTATAGTGGGGTATAGTGGAAAGAATATAGGACTTGGACAATGACGAACTGGGTTCAAACTCCTATCCAACTCATCAGGCAAGGTTCTCTGACCATATTTAGTGGGCTAGAGGGGCTCCTGGGGATAAGAGGGTGAGAAAGTTCGCTTCTGCTACCCCAATTGCACAGGCCTACAGCAGGATCCATCATACGCTTTTTATGGTTTGCATCATACATTTTGTAAAGGCTTTGGGCTGCTAAGTGTGATAACTCCAGCTAGCCACTTTCCCTCTTTCCTTTTGTATATAACATGCCTACTTGAACATATCAGGATAAATGCATTCTGACTCTTGGACAGCACTTGTTGGTCACAGTCCCACGGGCTGCCTATAACACTCTGATTTTAGAGGATTGCAGGCATGCTGTGCGGAGTGGGAGCGGAACAGCTTTCCCACTCCACAGCCAATTTTGGCTAAGTGCGGCATGTTGGAGCAGGAGAAGCACAGGCTGAGGCACCACCATGGATCCATTATATCTTGGTGGCATCTACCCGAACCCCACCATTTCTGCCTCCCTTCTCCAAGGTCACCCTTAGAGCCTCAGAGAAACAGCCAAAGCAGTTATTTTTATGTGGGCTGTGAAGTAGGAAAGGCACCCCAAGTGCAGATCCCCAGTGCTGAAGATGCAGCTTTTTTCTGACCCTGTTACTGCAAATCCACACTGTCCCATGACCTTCTGAGTGCTGCAGAGTGGGCATAAGATAACATTGTAAATATGTTCTACTTTTTGGACAAAACTGGCATTTAAGAGCATCTTAATGGCAAAAAGGACATCAGGCATACTGTTTTTTAATGCAGTTATGTGGTAGGTGGTTATAAGAGGTACAAATGCATACTGATACAAAACCACAAGGGATTTACAGATAATCCCTATTCTTCCCATCTGGAATAGGGATATAACCTTTTCGACTGGGCAATACAGTTTTCAGGGTCTTTAGCATAGTAGTATTGTTTATGTTTTGCACTGATTTGATATTAGAAGAACAGACGGGTTCTGGTGTAATTTTTTGTAGATTTTCAAATAAAAGAAATAACTTGTGGCATTGAGTTACTTTATCTGGGAAAAGGGGGTAATGGCAAAGTCCAAGCCACTGCCAAATCTGTAAGTAGTTGCTACCAGCACCCACTGAAACCACATAATGGGACAGGCACCCAGGTTTTTAAAGTGTTTACTCAGAAATGGGTCCCACTAAGTTCAGTAGGACTTGGCTTACAAGTAAATGAGTTTAAGATTGTGGGCTTAGCAATAGTTTGTCATTGGAGTCAAAGCCTGTATTCTGTTATCTTTAAAAGCACACAGAGGAGAAAGAAGTTTTCTAATGAGAAACAGACCAAACTGAACATTTTGTTAATTATTGATAGAAGTGTTGAGACAGGGGTCGAGTTCTCTGCTTTGTGATAAGCCTATGGCTGGCTATGTATGTTGAGGGGGTGGGGTGGCTATCATTCATGTTTACTTTGCCATCTGTCACTTTGTTCAATGGGGCTTACTCGACGTAATGGTTCATAGGTGGGAGTCTGTCCAAGGGAACGTAGTGGGGCTTGCTAGGCAAAGGGGGTGCACATACATTTTCCTCAGTCATATCTCTAGGAATTGTGCAGTAAAAGGGAGAAGGGAGGCTTTGGACTAGATGCTATTCGAAGACCAGCATACACCAATCCAGTACACACAACATTCACAAGACCATTCTGTCGAGAAATGTCCTTAAGAACATAGGAAATTGCCTTACACTGAGGCAGACCATCAGTCCATCTAGCCCAGCATTGCCAATGCTTGTTGGCAGCAGTTCTCCGGAGATTTTTCCTGCCCAGCCTGTAGATGCCAGGGTTGAACCTGGGACCTCCTGTATGCAGAGCACATTCTCTACCACTTAGCTATGGCTCCTCATGATGTGGTGCTGCAGGGCCAGGGCTGGGGGCTGTGCAAATGCAGCAACCTGATGGAGTCCTCAACTTTTCTGCATCACCAAAACTATAGGTCAAGGACACAGGAGATCTGCCATTGTGTCTCCCAACTTTTCCCTTCCAGAAGCAGCCATGAAGGATCACATTTAGGATCTGGGTGTAGGGCATAGGTTGGCATGTACCCATTGTGCAAATCACATGTACCACAGCTGCAGCTAGCTGTGGAGGTGGGAATGGACAGCAACAGTTATGAGTGCCTATGGGTCTTTCTCCAGCTAATTACAGGCTGCCAAGTGGGAGGCAGCTGAAAATTTCGTATAGTGGAGAAAGGTCGTTCTTTTATGCAATGACCCTGATCCAGGAAGGGGCGTGCGCACACCCGTCTTGCTGCTTTGTGAAAACAAAAATGACACCGGGAGACCAAATCATGGGCTTTCCATTTCATGTGTCATGTGTTAACTAAACAGCAGAAATCAGTAATTTTCTAAGGATTCCCAAGCTTTCCTGTTTCTGTCAGTGTAGTTTAGTTCACCTGTTTTTTATTATGCCTGTGGGATGAAGAAAAGCATAGTACCAGCTTTCAGATCTTGTAGATCTAAGATTTAAATATTTCATATTTTAAGATTTGGATGAAACTAAATTTGCCCAAAATCAAGTAGAAAGGGATATTGCTAAATCCAAATTATTTCCAATCCAAATCTCTTGTCCCAACACTTTTCTTTGTACATGTTATTTCATGCCACTAGATGGCACAGTCATCACATTTGCAAAAGTTACCATTGCCCAGATGAAAGCTGAGTTTCTGCATAGCTCTGCCACAAAACAGCCTTTCTCAGTCTGACGCCCTCCAGAAGCTTTGGACTTTGACTCCATCAGCCCCAGCTAGTGTGAAGGTTGTAGTTCAAAACAACTCAACAATACCAGGCTAGGGAAGACCAGCCTAGACGTTTGCAATACACAACTACATGTAAGAAACAATCTGTTTTTGAAGGCAAAAAGAAAAACAAATGACACTGCCTGTACATGCTAGGTTTGTTAGAGCAGTCTTTAGCAGTTAAGACAAAATAAAACAAAAAAAGGAATTGCCGCACTGTGAAAGCAGATAGAAGAAGTGAACACTTGAAGAAAGAAAGACCGTTCTTTGTGGTCACCATGCGAATCACACACCAATGGGGCTTGACACGAAGTGTAGGCCTCATCCGGTGGAAACTTTCAGAGCTGGTCACCATGAAATGGGCAGGAGCAGGGACCGCCCTGCCCTCTGAGTGGTACATAGGCTGCGGTTCCCACCCATTCCCTCAGTTCCTTTTCGACCACACTGGGCTTCGCTCTCTGGATTGGACCTCTCCAAATTAAACGCTTTGCCATTTATTTTTTTCTTTCTCTCTTGGAGCCTCTCTGTAGTCCTGCTGGCCTTCACAAAGAGGCCCTTCAAACTGATGGCCACAACAGACCTTAGGCTCCTGTCCTGGAAGACTGCCTTCCTGGTGACCATTACATCAGCCCGACGTGCCAGCAAGCTAGCAGCCCTTCATATCGACACTTCCTTCATGACGTTCCACAGGGACAGGGTTGTACTTTGTCCAGACCCTAGCTTCATCCCAAAGGTGACATCTTCATTCCACCTGAACCAGGACATCATCCTGCCTGGCTTCTTCCCCAACCCGTCCACTCCCATTGAGGCCACCCTGCATCTACTAGATGTCAAAAGGGCCCCTTGCCTACTACAGGTCCAGGACTGAGACCATCCGCTGCTCAGAGTGCCTCCTCATTTGCTATGAGGGCCCCAAAGCCAGGGAAGCTGTCTCCAGCCAGAGACTATCCAAATGGGTCTCCAACTCCATCACCCTCACCTATGAGATGACCAAGATCCCAATAACTGGACAGCCACGGGCGTACTCCACGCGTGCCCCGGCCACATCCACTGCTCTACTGGCTGGCATTCCCCTTCAGGAAATTTGCAGGCAGCAACATGGTCCACACCATCTACCTTTGTGCGCTACTACCAGCCAGACAGGACTGCACTTTTGGAAGGGCCGCCCTGTCTTCTATACTGCAATGATGATAGCCTCCCTCCTCCTGAGGGGCCAGCTTGCTAATTGCCCCATTGGTGCGTGATTTGCATGGAGACCATGAAGAAGAAAGGCAGGTTGCTTACCTGTAACTGTTGTTCTTCAAGTGGTCATCCATGTAGTCACACAACCCACCCTCCGCCCTGCTGGCTATCATCAGCTTCCGCCCCATACGGGCCAGGGCAAGGCACTATAGCCGATCCATACATGGTGCTCGGATCCCTCGCATGCCTAGGACAGCACGGTCTTCAGGCACTGAGGGAATGGGTGGGAGCCACTGCCTATGTACCACTCAGAGGGCAGGGCGGTCCCTGCTCCCACCCACTCCATGGTGACCAGCTATGGAAGTTTCCATGGGATGAGGCCTACACTGTGTGTCAAGCCCCATTGGTGTGTGAATTTATGGATGACCACTCGAAGAACGACAGTTACAGGTAAGCAACCTGCCTTTATCATCTAATCCTCCACCTACAGTGGAGGCATCTTCATATATTTGATGGGAGAGAATGAAGGGCATCACACATGTCCTATGGAGAGAGAGAGAGAGAGAGAGAGAGAGAGAGAGAGAGAGAGAGAGAGAGATCGTGCACCTGAGAGAAGTGTTATGGCCCTCTGTTGGTGCATTTATGACAATAGCAATTGCTGTCTTAAAGCATAGCTGAGATGTTAATTTGCTGGATTTCTTGCACCTTGCATGGATTGCTTTGGGCAACCTACAAAGCTGCCTCCTTTGAGTCTATGAATGCAGACAGAACAACTGGGAAGTGGAGGGGAACGTTGTTACAAAGTGAGATCAGGAAAGCCAGTAATCCAAGATGTAGATGGGTTACATTAAAGAAAACAAAGTTCAGCCAAAAAGTAAACTATCCGAGTGGAAGTGAACAACCTCCAAACAGTGATGATTTGGTGAAGCAAGTTAAACAATGTCCACAAGGTTGCTTGCAGAGAGACAATTACTTGCTATAGTTTCCCAACTACTCCTGGGATTTCTTGAGTCGAAACCTGGTCAAGGTGAATTCACAGATTAATTCCACCTCAACAGCTTCACATGTTGAGCATCTTTCTGAAGACTTTTTGATGAACTATTGGTGCCTTTATCTGCATATTTGCCAGCTAAGGCAAACACCTCAAGCATATGGCCTTTGAAGGCTTTTACCATGAAGGTGTGACTAGTTTTTAAAGATTCCATTAGAGTTCTCTGTTGTGTGTATCATGTGGTCAAGTGATGCCATCTTTTTCCTTCCAGTTCACACCCTTCAGGGAACTGTGTGTGTGTGTGCGCGTGCTCGTGCGTGCACATGTGTGTGTGTGTTGTCATCCCTCGCTTCACTAGTTTTGTATGGTTTGACCTTGGGCTGGATCTAGACTTTCAACCAAGAGAAGGCTCATTGAAATCCATGGAAATTAAGTTGGTCATCATGAGTTTGCTCAAAGCAAACCTACTATTCTCTAAAAGTGGGGGTACAACAGCATTTCTGCAAAGGTGAGGAATCCATGGATCTCTAGTTGCTGGACTCCAATTGCCTGAAATGGATGTATGAGAATTTCATATTCACTTGCAAAATATATGCACATTATCTGTTCACAACTGCAAATGTTATCACCAGAAGGAATATAAGCACACTTCCATCTAAAATATCTCAAAATTTCTGAATATGTGATCATGCTTAAAATGCACGTGTAGGCATTCACCAATCCCAAAAGGGAATGGGAATCAGGCACAAGGCAAGTGGCGAGCCACATCCACATATCCAGCAACATTTGGAAGACTACATTTTCCCCATCTATGGTTTAAAGATTTTGGAGTCATATGAATGAGCTAGATATTATGGAAAGGAGTCAACTAGAACAAGCTATTCTTCCTCCCCACCTGCAGTATGATTTGATGGGCCGTTCAGAAAGGTAGCCTGACCAGAGACATACACAAGCATGCAAAGTTAGGCCTGTTAGGAATAAGATTTCAGTTTTACATGCATTGCAGCATTAGGCAAACTGACATTCTACCTCCATAAGCTCCAGGCAAGTATAGC